CCCCCCCCCCCCAGCTTGGTGTCATCTGCAAACTTGGTAAGGGTGCACTGCATCCCATCTTCCAGACCACTGAAGATATTGAACAAAGCTAAGCCCAGGACCAACCCCTGGGGCACTCCACTCGATACTGGCTGCCAACCTGACAGCAACCCTTTGAGTCCAACAATCCACCCAATTTCTATCCACCTGACAGTCCATTTATCCAACCTATATTGCCTTAGCTTGCTTGCCAAACGTTGTGGAAGACCTTGTTAAAAGCTTGGCTAAAGTCAAGGTATATCCTGTCCACTGCTCTCCCTACATCCACAAAGCCAGGCATCTCATCATAAAAAGCTATCAGTTTGGCCAGGTCAATTGACTTCTAAGCCCTTCTTTCTAGCTGTAATGTTTTGGGCCAAAACATACTTCCAAAATAATGTTTTGTTTTTAAGCTACTTATAACATGGGCTTTGAGGACCTTTGGATTTGAACTGCTGGAACTCCAGCCTCCTGTGTGATGGCAGGGGCAGCAGCAGCAGCTTTTCTGAGCTGACTGCAAAGGATGTGAGGGTGTCTGGAAATTGCTAACACTTGGTAAAAGCAACAGGAGAGAATCGGGGATGTGCCTTTGAACACATATGTGACAAAGGTTGGATATGGGTTAGGTTTGTAGGAGGAAGTTCAGGATGGTGAGGGTGCTGCAGTCTACCTTGGCACCTGCTCTGCGGTAGTCTCAAAAGGGGCCAACTACTCAGTCTGTGTACCTTTACATTCTCTCATGTCATCAGCCTGGAGTCCAACAAATCATGGGGTTGGCCTGCCCAACACTCCGGATTGACTGAAATGCACTGGACCTCCCTTCTGTTCCCTTTCCAAGGCAGCTGAAACACTGCATTGTTCACAGCCTTGTTTTCTGCTGCCAATGAGCAATGGTCTAGTTTTAAAAACCTGTCTAAAGTGGAGCCAGAAAATCAGTGAGATTCCCAACTCTAAGATCACCTTCTCCAGGCATTGTGCCAGCACAAGCAATTTAATCTTGAGCTGCAGCTCATCATGACCTCCATTGAAGAACTGCTTTTCTTCCCTATTGCAAAGCTTCCAGCATGTGAGCCTGCTTCCAGGGGCTGAGCTGAATATGTTAAGCTTGTGGGCATGAAATAATTGTGCTGCCTAATTTTAACCAAGAGAATCCAATTTATAATCAGTTCTAAGCCATGCTTGAAGTAGCACGAGCTCCGATAGTGAGCAGATATGCCTTGAGGGACATCTAATTCGTAATCCAGAGGTGGGTAATATTAAGGGGACCAAAGCTAATGAGCTATGCAGCTTATACATGAGAGCCTGGTTTTCTTAATTTAATTAGGATAAACCACTGGGTTAAGGTGACTTTACATGATAGAGGCAATCTCTCTGACTTAGATGCAGTTCATACGAAAGGTATTACCTATCCTTTTTCTCTGCTTTGCTGAATCAGTATGGAGTTCACTTGAGGAACCGACTAGATGGACAGCAGCATAGGAATGGAGATTGCCTTCCAGGACCATTTTAAGAGAAACTCTCCTTATATTGGAAGAAGATGAGGATTCTTGGCTTCAAGTTCAAACTGATCTAACTTCAAGCAGAACAATGAGCCAAAATGTCTATATTTATCCTGAGATTGCCTGCAACATTCCCTGGTCATGAAGGGTTCAATGTTATTTCCTATAAGGCTGAGCTCAGAGCTTACCAGTGAATACAGGGCTTTGGAGAGGGCCGGGATAAAATATAACAGCAGGGAAGAAGGGCCCTCAAATGATACTTGAAACCAAAACCAAAAAAAAGTAAACAGACCTTAGAACTGAACATTGAAAAGCAGATCGTGTTTTGCAATGCCCCCATTTAGAAAGTTCCTGGTTTGCCGTGACGAGTTCTTCGCCTATCCTGGTAATTTAAGAATAAACAAACTGCACAGTTTGTGCTGGCCTGAGTCACAGCATTGTTCTGGAGGGCAACATCACAGAGGAAAAAAGACGAAAGAATCTGACCCAAGATCTGAAGACAAGGAAGAGATTTGGGGGAAGAACCCATGTTCCTAATACAAGGACGTTATTAGGGAAGATGGTGGGACCACCCAGAGATCAGAGGTTTGTGGGTGCTGGAGGTCAATATGCAGTTTTCATATCCCAAGTGCAGGAACTGTTGGAACTTACATAGGCGAAGCATTCCCTGCCCGCTGTGCTGGTCTTTCAGCCATTGCCCTTCGTAGATGGATCCATCCTTGTAGTACATTCTACCCCAACCACTTCTTTGCCCATTGCTCCATTCCCCTTCATAATATTCGGTGTCTGAATAAAATCTAGTTCCGTAGCCCTAAAACGACAAGGTTTTGGTTCTCATTCCTCCAAGCTTAAGCATTCTCTGCATTCACAAGAGGCAGCTTATCTAGTGCATGGAGTCTGGATTCTCGGGGGCTGCTTCCTGATAGCAATAATGAGCAAGTTAGTGGCCTATGTGTTTAACAGCATCTTGAATACATAGCAACATTTATTGAAAAACTATATAAACCAGAAAACCCTCATGTTTTTCACTTCTAGAAGGTGTTCAAAATGAATGCAAGGTTAGCCAAGTGTAATATATTTTTATTTTGGAGCTGCTTAAGTCCCTGATCCCCTTCTCCTGCCTGATCTACTGCTCTGCTTCCTGAACCATCTGCTGCTGTCCCCTCCCTGGTCTGCCCCAAGCCACACACAGAGGCTTCCTGTGCCACTTCTGGCATGTATGCTGCAAGTTGTCCACCTTTTCCCTATAGCCTGGAGCTGAGTGCAATGCCTTCAAGTTCCCACAAGCCTTTTGAGAATCATGCTACTTATGAGCCTGTTGAGGCAAGGGCTGTCCCCTCCTTTCCTTAGAGTTTTATTAATACAATATATGTTCCAAAAATAAAACAAATCCAGAACTGTATCCACGCCCAAAACAGGAAACCATGGGGATTAAAAAAAATCAGAAAATGGTGAAGAACCAGAACAAGGCTTGATATCTAAGCTGTGGCACAAGAAAATGTCTGTAGTAGTGACTCTACAATCCTCTGGGCAAGGGGGAAAAAAACATGATAAAAGCTACATTGCTTTGAGAAGGAGTGGTCTCAGTTTGTCTTTACACCAGAGGAGAGGATCTGCATTGTTCTGACTCTTTTCCTTCCTAAAACACAATGTCCCAAACACCCTAAATTCCCCCAAACAACCTTAGTGTTTCCTTCCTTCTCCACCTCTCTGTTTTTTTTAATTCCGTAATTAATTTATCACTATCAAAAGCTGTTGGACTGGCAGCCATGGAGAATTAAGTCTTTGTTTTGTCCAGTACATCTTTCCAAGCCGCTTTTGTGCTGTCCCAAGCCAAAAGGCCTCAACCCTGTCCCGGAGGAACCGTTTTGGGACTAATAATTCTCCAGAAATTCTGACCTCCTTAGTGTCTCATCTGAAATGACAACCGGTTTGTGGCAGTGGTGGGTTTTGGTTAGGAATTTCCTCAGAGAAGACCACGTATGTTATTTTATACAGGAAGCACCAGAGTTGTTTGGCTTAGTTGTATGTTCACCTGTTCTGAGGAGTCAAAAGCCTGCACTGCCCCAGAGATTTATATCAGTCAGAACTGTTTACATGGTGCTAATGAGTTTTCCCACAGAAGGAAAGCGGTAGCTTATCTCTGTAGAAAAATAAAATCAGTTCTGGAAAAAATTGATTTGTCAGAACACTAATAGCATTGAGCTTCATGGATGCAAATGGAAAGCTTTCATATAAGGAAAGGACAAGTAAAATGAGGGCATCATCCTAAATAGTTCACAAAAGCTCAATCATTCAATATATATCTTCAAAGAATGAAAAATGAGGCCTCCCTGAAGAGTTGAGAGCCATGGAAGTGCATGCCAATTAGATGTCACAGAGGCTCTTAATTTAATTTGAAAACAGACACAGAGGGTAACATGAAGTTTTCATCGGCAGATCAGGAAGTGTTTCTAAGAGGATTTTGCCTAGGAAACGGCAGTAAGTTTTTTTTTCAAAGATGACTTCCTTGGTATAAAGATAGGTATGTATTCTCTGGCAACAATCTATTCCTAAAAGGACCTGTGTTATAGTCCTAATGTATTGTGATGATTTGTGAAAGACCTATGTCGACAAGCTATAGCTTCTTGTAACAATTACATATATGCTCTTCCAACAAGCCTTGATTACTCAGTTCAAATGTGGAAGTAACTAGTTACACAGGCTGTGAGGTTGATCAAAGGCTATAAAACTTCTTACTTCTACACCATTCCCTTGAATATGACCTAGGTTTGTAGTCATTGCTGTGTGCAAGTCGTTTGGATATATATGATCTCATTTCAGTTGTCGGGGAACAGGTGCCTACACTAAAAAGATTTCCTAGTACAACTACCCCTCCTTGCTGTGAATTTCATTAGAGACCAAGGATTCAGTGGCTTTGGAAAATTAAATGTCTATAGGGCTACAACTTATAGAAAGAACAATGAAGGAAAGCTAGTACTTCTATTGCCCATGCTAAGCCTTTTCTGCAGATAATGCATTTTAGTCTCCAAGGCTGGCAATCTTTCAACAACCCAAATGTCAATGCAAAATATAACGAAAATTAAAACTCTGAGGACAGCTTAATCTCATTCCTTCTCTCAGCAGCTACAGAATATTTCTTCTCCACTGCTGGTATCTAATAAATAACAATTAAATAATGCTCTGAAGAATTTTGTTTTGGAAGCCTAAAGCTCATAAAGAATTAGGGGGAGGTTCATGCTTTGGACCATCCTCTCAGCATGCCAACAGAACTTTTTTTTTAATGTATGTCCAAATCTGGCCCATGATTTTGTTCTCATATCAAGACATCCATTAATAACCTCTTACAAAGTAACCCTGTATAACAGCCTTGGGGGAAGAATGGGAAATCACTTACACATTTTTTGTCATTTTTCCACCAGCCTGAATACACTTTCTTATATCCTTTAGTTACAGGATCAGGAATGCTGTATGTTCCATATCCATCTCGTTTTCCAAATTTCCAGTCACCATTATATATTGCTCCTGTGCGTTTCCAGATCTGCGTTCCTTTCCCTGTTTTAAAGTCCAAGAACTACAGTAAAGCATAACCTTTATTATTAGAAGCATTTCTGAAGGCATTCAACGCAACAAGATCTGGGCACCTTTACAAGATTTATTGTGAGTCATTAATTATATCAACAGGAGAAACAGAACACTGTGCTCTTCTGCTGCCCACATCTTTTAATCTACCCAGTCAGCTAGGAACATTGGTTTTACAGTTTAATCATGTATGAAAGCATAGAAAAACAAGTATGGCCTTGCAATCTTTCCTAAATGAAGCCAGGTTACTGCTTATGATTCTGACACACTTTGTAAGCTGCATGCACTGTTGATCTAATCAGAGCCTTCCTATGCAACTCTCATTGCTCAGTGCCTCAGTTTATTGTCTGTGAACTGGATATAAGAATACAAGGCTAATTCCTTGTTCTCATTCTTTTCTCTCTGACTGCAAGATCTTTTGTGCAGGGGCTCCATCTTTCTCTGTTCACCACCTTGAACAGTAGGCCCCATCTTAAATGGAAACTTACATGCCACTGTATTACAAAAACTCATGATATTAAACTTTAAGTCAAATTAATCAGAATGCCATTCATGTGCTTGCTGTTTTGAGTGGGATATATTCACAGATTTTGCAAGTAGTGGGGAAGAACAATGGGAGTTTATACATGTGCTCTGGGTGTCGGGGGGGGGGCACTTTAATTGGAGTGTCTCCTAGAGCTGATCTAATTTAAGCACCCAGAGCGTCTTGTGTATCAGTGTCCCTGCCCTTCAAAATGGCAGTGGGATCACTTTATCTAAAGCTTGTTGGACGAGCTCTAAAGTGCCCCCACCACCATTTTTAAGCATGGGGGCGTTGATACATGAGACGCTAGAGTCTGCTGCAGCACAGTAATTGCCATGCTCCAACAGACTCGAATAATTGAGCCTGCTCCGATGCACTGTAATTACAGCACCTTGCAGCAGCCTCGCTGCACATGTATAGGCACCCAATAGTTTTTAGTTTCATTGTAGTTCTTCCTTCTGGCCATGCAAGGTCACTGCCCCTGTGAGACTGGGGGAGCAGATCTGTTTTTCTTTCTTCTCATCTTATACTCCATCGCTGGCATTCATAAGCCATGACTAAGGTTATGGTTTTGGCACAGTCATTTTTAGTATGTTTCATAGCAGAGGTGTGAAAAACAGTGGGTTTTAGTTGTGGTAGGTATATTTCTTTACAAGAAAGGGGGAATTGTGAGGGGGCTCTGCCACCTGGGGTAGGTCAGGAACATGGGATCCCTCTGTGGGTGTTGAGTGAATGCAGAAGAAGGAAAAGAGGGATAACAATCTACATTTTTGTTTGCATTCAAATAGAAAAAGACATGTTCTTACAATAGGAAATATGACTGAGGAGAGATTAGTACAGCTAGGTTTAACAATCAGTTCACCTCAACTTATGTTCTTAAAACCATTTCATTTTTTTTTTTAAGTTAGAACTTTACCTTTTAACATATTAAGGTTGAAATGATAGCATCTGTCTATCCTCCTATCTGCACAGGCACCAGATGCCAGCCCTGACCAGTCCATATCACTTTCTTTAAGGCCATGACTTAATCATAAACCCTTGATTTTATATTAAATGAGCTAATTAAATTAAAGACTCATTTGTTCCCACTTAAAAATTCAACACCTCCCTGTCTTCAATGCCTTAGGGTTGCAAATTTATTTTCTTTTTATTAATTTTGCCATCACACAACCACAAACACATTTACTAAAAATAACGAGCTCAAAATGAGTTGGTAATTTATAATACCTAACCTAAGTGTCTGAATACTTTTAAATTACATTTTCCTGTAAACTGAATTTTAACTTGAAATCTTACCTTCATATTTTCAATTTTAACCTAAATGTATCATACCACATCTAAATGCATTGGCCTGCAGAAGTAAGTAAAAAAAAAAAATCACAAGTCCCTGCAGAGGATCATAACAAATCTAAAAGTATATTGTAGTTTCTATGAAGCAATATTTTTACCATGTTTTAAATTGTCCAGCCATTCCCCAGTATAGTGATCCCCATTTACAGCATAAATAGCGTGTCTTAATCCATTTTTCTGGGCTTTCCTGTCCCATTCATTCCAGAGAGGCTCTGCAGTCCTAGGATATTTTACAAAGGGCATGTTGTTCTTAGCTAGAAATAAAAACAAAAGGTTGTTAGACATAAATCAGACATTATCAAAGCAGGTACTAACAGGATGTGCAATTTCCAAGCCATTTAGGCTACTACTGGGAGGGGATGGGGACACTGCCTTCCCAGTTGTCAGCACCTCGTCTTCCACAGTCCCAAGAGAAGGCCTAATATGTGTAGGTGTTCTGCCTGTAGCAAAGGGCTCTGCGTGTGGTTTCCTTTCCCTTTGCCTGGGATGAATAGAGAATTGATTATGGCTCTTTGACCTTTTTTAAATAGCTTGTGTGCCTTCCAGGATATAGAGGATGGTCAGCACCGAGATATGGCTTAATTTAATCTTTAAGAGCCTATAGTGGGGTAATGTTTTAAATGGAGATGATAAGTACAAAACACATTTTAGGATACAGAAAAGAGGCCAAAATACATCAATAATTTAAAGACACATGAGAAGACATCTGTGATAATCACAAGTAGATTTGCTACCCTTTCTGTTACACATCTTGTGATAACCAGTGTTTTCAAAGGCTCAGCTACTGGAACCATATGAATATGTGAGACTCTTAGCTTTCATTTGAAAATAAAGTTAAGTTTCTATGCTCATGGTTGAGGAGAAATATACTTGAAAAAAAAAACAGCAGGAAAATAAAAAAAACAATGCATTTTTATGTTGGTAAATTTATTTTTAAGTAAATAATTATTACTTGGGGTGAGAGGTCTGACTCATGATTTCTAAGATTTCTGAACAGCAATGCTGCAAAGGTCACGTACAAGACGCTTTTTGTTATAGGAGCACACTACAGAAATACACTTCAGACAACTCAAAGGAGATCAGGATTGCTACAACATTAGAACATGCACCTAACCTCAGGCTGCTAACCTGGTTCTGAATAAATAAAGAGTTATTAAGTAATTAAATTAATAAATGGTAATCCATGGCTAAATTTTCAAAAGCCATTACCAAAGAGTAGCTTCCATTGATTTAAATAATGATTTGGGAATTGCAGCTTTGGCACCTGTTTTTTTTTCCTTTTGCCATTTTACATTCGTGGCTTGAGGGCATATTTGGGCACCCCCTGGGCCTGTTACAGCCATAGCATATTGTAAGAGCAGGTACTCCGGGAGCTGCAATTCCCCACAGGGGGAGACTGGGAGCCCAGAATGGGAGCCAGCTTCGGAGATATATAAAAGCCTAAGCTGAGTAGGGGAATGTGGTAGGGAGGGAAGTACCTTGAAGGGTAAGATAAGTTGTCTCCCTCCATTTCTTTCTTTTGAGAAGCTGGAGAAGACTGTCTTGGTTATTGAGCAAGTTGTGTTAATTTTCTTGTTTGGGGATTTTTTTTTCTTACTAAATAATGGAGGCCCTGAGGAAAGAGACTGCAAATGGAGTAAATGGAGTTTTATTTGTACTCCCTCAACCAAGTGGAACTGTACATCAGCTGATTAAGGATGCTCGTAGCTCACAAAACATTCAGGCCTTGCTATTTGCTAAGATGTGCATTTAACTCCCTTTCTTTGCTTTTAGAGGCCAGCTGAGTTGCTGCCATAGTTTTAAGGTAAAGCAAATATGCCATGCTGTATTAATGAAATGGCCATCCTGTAATAACTGGAGTCTAGCAGACCTACCCTGATTATGAGCTCAATTGTTGGAAAAATGGGTGAAGTTCAATATAAGTGACAATAATCTGTAACAACGCAGCTAGTAAAAGAGTAGGAAAGGAAGACAGAAAGGTTGGATCCGAACAAACAACGCAAGATTACAAAAAGCCCTTCGGAGCAGAGGTGCCCAGCAGTACATGGCCCCCCTTAGAAACAGGGCTGTCACCTGAAACGCATAACACTTTCCATATGTCCATCATCTTAGGCCCCCCCCCCCAGCAAAAATACGAGTCAGTGCCTATGCCTTGGAGCAAGGAAAAGGAAGATAGAAGCAGATTTGCATATTGCATAGACAATTCCCTCTCATTCTGTCCCATCAAATCAGCATCTTCATGTTTCCCCTGTTGAAGCCATTCATAATTTAGCTGCTCCCTACTTGTCCATCCTATTACATGAATATGATTTTGAATGTTCCCTTCACTCTGGCAAAGACGGGAGCCTAGAACATCTGTTGGCTCAAAGTCAGCCTTTGCATTTTTCTCTCATACTACCCCACTAGGTGGAAAAACGTCCCCTTCAAAATGTACTGTCCCTGTACTCGCATACTTCAGATCACTTGTTAAGAAACACCTCCACTGTGCTACCAATGGAGAATTGCTACTTGACAGTGACCTAGCACCTGGTATGACAACTTCAAATTGCTGTGGACAATTGATGCCATCCATCAATGGACTGGACAAATGGCAAGTCTATCCTAATGGATCTGGTTATTACTCACTCACCCTGCCTGGTATTTTTTTGTTTTCTGTTTGTTTTGTTTCACCCATGTGTTAACAGCTCATTTCCAGCCTGTGGGCTCTGAGAGTCAGGAACTATCATTTTCTATGTACTTGTACAATGTTAAGTACAATGGCCCACTAACCTGGTCCAGGCATCCCAGTGCTACTGCATACAAATAAATAATAATAATAATTAGTAGTCCCTACCTCAGTGCCTCTACTTTGTGAATGATCAGCACACTTAAACATACAAGGGTGTTATTTTCTAGGACACTTCAGAAAGCAGGATTCCCATATTTTACTACCCAGTCCACATGAAGCCTTCACAGTGTCTAGTTAATTTACTACACAAGCAACTGGGGTCTATCTTGTTATGCACAGACATCATTGGGTTTTTATGACATCATGGTAATTATACAAGAAAAGCTAGGCTGGGTTGTGTTCACATCTTATCCCAAAAGATCATGTTAGTTTTCCTCTGTTGTGCTATGTATGCTTAAAGGTATCATCAAATTAATATAGCCCTGCAAGTATACCTCTTTCTCCATGGAATACTGTATGTAAAAGGAGCAATCACGTGTCCACCATCTCAGAAACCATCACAGAAACCTACTAAAGTCAGAGTAACAGGGTCATGCAGCACCAGGCCCTGTATCTGCAAAGTGTGCAGTCTCTGCTGGTGCTTTGTGCTGAAGAGCAGCATGAGGGTGAGGAGGGTGCAGTATGAGTTGGAGTGTCTGCTGATTTGTGACAAACCTTAGGCAGTAAAAACAAGAGGTGGGAAGAGTCCCCCTGCCTTGCCTGACTTCACTGGAAGAGCAGCAGAGGGGACTGAATCCCACCTATTTGACTGGATGTGTGTAGATACTTGTACTGTCTGAACAACTGACAAATACTAGCATGACATCCTGTGAGATAAGGAAGTATTATTGGCTTCTTGTTGCAAAAGCGGAACCAAGGCATGGGAGGATTGGCCAGATAAACACGCTGTTCCTTCAGACACACTCAGATTAGACTTTTTCTACACGATCCACAATGTTCATTGAGGCAAAGCATCCACTCATCTTAGGGCAGGAACATGACTGTATGTACTCGGAACGAAGTCAAAGCCTCTCGTGCTTCACTCCAAGAGCACCATGGGTTGCAGCTACTTTAACTCCAAGGGTTGCAACTACCATTTTCCCCAGCCCCACAAAACAAAAATCACAAGAAAATTAAATACAGTAACTTAATTTAATACAATTCTAGGTTACAGTTTTAAATAAATGTGTTAAAGCTAAGAGTTTCATATAAGCAGCAATTCACCTCCATTCTGCGTATTACAAATTTATCTCTTAAAAGTTTCTTTCAAAAATCCACCCGTAGAATACAGATGACTCGACATCGCTGCAGAAGAGAAAGTCGTCTCCTGCTTTGATCTCCAAGTCTACAGGATGAATATTGTATTATTGTTGGCTTCTGTGTTGATTTTATATTGAGAACTCAAAATAACAAACATACAGTAACGCAGTGTTGAGGCTGCAGGTTTAAAAAGTTAGGAAATGCAAAACAAATAGATCTAAAAAATAAACTGAGAGTTTCGAAATGCTGTTCTCTGCCATTAATGGCTGGGAACTGACAACAAATTATTGTGCTGCAGTTCACAACTCTGACCAGTAGATGCTGCTGCTCCCACTAAAACCATCTCATTTGCTCTGCCATCCAGACCAGTTTTTTGTATACTCCTTCCGAATCCTGCCTTGTGTTCTTACAGCACTATTTTTTTTTAGTTTCATAATTTTGTCTTAATTCACATGGCTCCACAAGAGGCCTAGATTTTCTTTGCTTTTTCTTTCAGGAGGGTAAATCAGGACAAAAGCTAGAGGTACTCCACAAGAAACTATTTTTGTAGCTTCACTACAGACCTTCTAAAGGGCCGTCTCTTGCAATTTTTCTGCATCGCATTCTTGGTGTCCATGTGGTGCCAGAATCCCTTTGCAATCCCAAAACCTCACAATTAAATCAGCGAGAAGTTTAAGAAGTTTACACTTTAAGGCCAGATTTTCCGAACTGCTCAGCACCCAACATACACCCAACCCTGCGAGCTGTTTTGAAACTCTGGCCACTTTTAGATGGCTGCACGGACGCTGAGCTCCTTTGAACTTTCTAGCCTTACATACAGTTCAGGAGTCCGAGAGATAATAGCAGCGTGTTCATCTGGATTGCTGTAGCTCTGCTGAGAGGATCTGTGGGTTTGGGCTCCCAGTCAGCAATTGAGGCCAGCAATAACAGGTGCCCTGCAGCTCTGCTGGGCTGCTGCGTACAACTGAGTTCTCAGAATCAAGCAAGCTTTTTTTTCTGCCTTCCCTTCCCTCATAGCTGTTTAAATTTAGGCTGTTCTCTGCGATGAAGTTGGGGAGCTTGGTTCTTGCTCCTTCACCTCCTTTTGCCCTCATTTAATGGGTAACTGGCAGGAGAACGTGGTCTTCTTGCTTTTTTGTTCCATAGCTGCCAGTGATCTCTCTGCAACTCTCATCAGTTTAGATGTTAATTGCTACAGTGGGGCGGAGCTAGTAGCTTCTTACAGAATCAGACATTCCCCAACCTTAGCCCCAAAATAACTTTAATCTTTTTTTCCTATATAGTCTGTTGGACTAAATCAGAGGACAATGGGATGGAGGAAGACTCCTTTCCTTTTTTTGCATCCCTATGACAAGGTATTTAGTAGAAGTCGCAGACTTTGTTTGAATCTAACAGGCCCTGCCCTGAGCACTTCTGCTATGACCTCACATTTATGACCGCGGGAGTGTCAACTGTGCCCTTTAGCACCTGCACCACCCCAACCCCAACAGAAGGACTAATGCAATCGGAAAAATCTTGATGTTAATTAGTGGGAACCTCTCTAAAGATAGCTGCCCCTTATTTTCCAGCTATTCCAAAGCAATGCAAAGAGATTAACAGGTATCTGTTGGCCCATGTTTCTAGACTAAAATAATTTCCGTCTCCCCTCTTTTAATAGCAAATACATGTAGACTAACCTCAGAGTCAGTTCAAGGCTGATCTGTTTGTCCGTCCTGCAGGGAATGGCCCAGGGAGGGCTGGAGAACTACAGCATTATAGCAGCAGGAGCTGGAGTCTGTGTACGGTACTGCAAGCTCCAGCTGGGGTAGCCATAGCAACTCAAGCAAACTTTCACAACAGACAAGCTCTTTTCTGCAGGGAAGAGATGTGAGAATCACATCCAGGGAACAACACTGTCAGGGTTTAAAGGCTCCATGAGGTTCATCACAGAGTTGGCAATCAAATCTAATTGCAGTCATTACTGGAGCAGTAAAAGCCTTTTTTTTTTAAGTAAAACCTTGGCGTTCACCTTGTGTATGGGTATCTATGTGTATAAATTTATATTTGATTTGTATTTAAACGAGAAAATTGATTGCTTAACATAAATACATGCATTTTCCTTGTCCTTAGAAATAGAGGTAAACAGGTAGTTTTACTTATACACGTCTAAAACAAATTCAGTGAGTAGATACTATTCTGTTACTTCACAGTCATAGCATATCTTTATTTTCAAAAAAGCCTCAAAGCATTTAACAACTTCCAAAGAATATGTCCAATTTTGCTGGTCTAAATAGCTTCCCTTGGTGATTTCCAAAGGCTGGCCGCTAGCATAACTTCCATCGGGAAGCGTCTCCATGTGAGAAAAAACATGGACTGGGAGGGATACCTTCCAGAATAGGAAAGGTGCCTGTCCAAATTACCGGCAAGGCTCATATTTGATCTTTGAACAGTGTTCCTACAGTGGGGTACCAATCTCTTTGGGGTGCTTAGGTGCTTTTGTCATGAAAATAGTAAACTTCAGCCCTCAATAATGAACTTCAACCTATGTTTCCATAAAGTTAGATTTGTTGTGGTTTGTTAAAGAGCAACGGGTGATTCCTCAAAGCTACAGCTCCACTATATAAAAACGCATTTATTTCCTTCAGAGTGTCTGTAGGAAAGAGATGAAACTATAACCTTCTTAATACAACAGTTCAGTAGCATCTGACAAAGTCGGCTGTTCCCCACAGAAGCTTATGGCTCTGAACCAGTTAGTAAGGCTGCTTGCAGACACGAACAAAACAAAAACCACGTTTGACTTTAAATTTGGTGCGCTCCTGCGCTGAGCCCAGCACATGCCCACAAGAGACAACACGTTACTTCGACCCAGCTCTGCAGCGTCTGTATAGATCAAGCGCTTTAGTGGAGCTTTTTTGGCACATTTATCAGCTATTAGATAAAAGTCCCAAAAAACCCTGCTGATGCATCCAATCCATAGAGACACTGCAGAGCCGGGTCGAAGTAACGCACAGCTTCTTCCAGTAAAGTTTTTTTTACCATGTCTGCAAGCAGCCTAAGGTGTTATCGTGCCATGCCCTCTGCCTAACAGTTCCGTAGGTTAGAATATACAGGATTGACTCACTGACCTAAAAATCAGACCGCTGAGATATCCTGAGGGTTAAGGAACTTAAGATCCATGTTCATTCATGCTGGTATTTAAATGACATCAAACGTTGGGGCTAAGTTCAGAAGTCAAAAAGCTCAAAGCTGAATTGATTCAGCCTTTGCAGGTTAGTCTAAGCTGTAGAGATTGAACCAATAAGCAAATGAACAGACATTCACTTTTGATTCAGGAAATGCAGCCACGTGTCTGCAGTGGCTCATGCCAGAACCTGGGGCATACTACAGCACTCCTGCCAGGCAGTGCCAAAGGGAAGGGAAGACAAAAGGCCCTCCAAGGCTTTCTCCCCCTCCCTGCTCAAGTGGAGGAGATGTGGCCAAGCCCTAGCCTGGAGCTAGCTGGAGGGTCATCAGGGTGGGGGCGCCAGCCAGGCTGAGGAGGGGGTGGGTGCGGACAAAAGTAGTGGCATTGAATTCATAAAAGGTTGAACAAGAATAGTTCTTTCTCTGAAGTGAGCATTCAACACAGCTCATCTGTGTGTTCACTTTTTCCTGCAGTCCCCCAGGTCTCTGGGATTTGCAGCCCACAATCACAGCAGCAGGACATTGCTGGGGTGCTCATCACTTCCTCTTCCTGTTTCCAGGTACCTCTGGGATTTTTAGTCCACAGTCACAGCCAGCAGTAAATTTAGCAGGGCATGGAAGCTCTGTACCCAGGGGAAGGGGAGTTTAACCCCCCTCCCTGGCCCCAGGTCCCAGCTTGGGTTTGCCTGGGGTGGCCAGTGAAGCAGCCAGTGAGCCAGCCATCACTGCTCTGGCTAGGGACCAGAGGGGTGGGGCCAGCCCTGCTCTCTGGAGCAGCCAGCACAGCCCAGCCCAGGACTGCAAAGCATGTAGGGATACTGGGGGACTCTGACTTAACTTGAACCAGGAAAGAGGTCTGGGACAGAAGTTTCATAAACTGGTTTGACCTAAACCAGTTATATCTGATACTACATTCAACCAGGTTTATCTTAAACCAGTTTCAGTCATTTTGCAACTGGTTTATGTGCACTGAACTTCTGTTCTGTTACAGTTTTAAACCAGTTTCTGATCACTTAAACTGGTTTATGTGTAACTTCTGTCCCTAGCCTCGATGTTTACCAAAACCTGCATCATTGTCTTTCTGAAGGGCTTGTGCAACAGTTTGATTCAGTAGTTTATTAGCCTTCACATTATAAGTGTTGTGTTGAGTTTGTTTTGCTTATATTTTCAAACATTTATGAAAGTGTGCTTGAAAGTAAAAGGAACTGAGGATTCTGTACATAAAAGCCACAATTGTTTTAGTGATGCAACAGTAAAGCAGGTTTTAAAATACCTTTTGGGTCAAAGGCTCAAGGGAATTAAACACATTTATTTGTCATACCAGTAAGTACCCAATTCTGGGGACTGGAGTTGATAGCCTGGGAGACCCCTTCTAGTCCCCTCTTCCTGTCTTTAATACCTTGTTTTAGATGTTTTCTTTTGTATATGTTAATCAATCCATTTCCAAATTCTGGCACGAACTTTCAAGCTTGTTTACTATGAAAATAATAGGCCAAAGTCTCTAATTCAAAACTCTAAAGCCTGTTGAACTGTTTAATTTTGTACACAGCCAGGGTCACATTGACTTTTTTTACTCTTGAAGACGCTTTGTTCCACTGAAAATAACAGAGCACTGGCTCCCCACTGGGACAGGTAGAGCATGTGAACAAGTTTACCAGATCTGTCGAGGACCCTCCTTTCTGTCCCTTATTTTCCCTGTACGGTCATGGCCAAACTGCTAGAATTAACAGGGCTGATGCAGAGTGAGGGTGAAGGCAGAGATCTGAACACACTTGAGGACAGAATACATAAAAGGGATTGTGTCAACATTTTAACCCATCTGTGTAGTTAAGACATCTCTGATGGACTAGGAGAGGGTGAGGAAGAGTCTGAGAATTAAAACCTACATGAAAAGTGTGAACAGGGCAACTGCACAACAGTGTTAGCTCCTGATGCATCTGTCAAGTGCCAGAACGTCTATTCTAAAATACTCCCCTACTAACATGCCCATGACACAGTGGTTATAACATATGAAGAACCCCAGGAGCAGGCAGCTGATGATACCTACTTCTGTGTTCTGGTACATACCTGACAATGATTAATGATTGGAATAGATTACACTATCTAGGCCAAAGTGCTGTCTGTCTCGCATACATTAGAGCTGCTGACTCTACAGCAGATGTTACATTCAGGGAGATTAAAAAAAAACCTACCCTAGGTATGCTTCGAATAGGGGTTCAATGTTTCTGCCTCTCTCAGCAGTGCCCACTCACTCCTTCCCTACCCTTTGTATTCCAGTCACTGCTTCCTGCAGCACCTACAGCATCGGGTGTAAACCCAGTGCTTACGAATGCTCATGCTATAAATTTCTTAGTTAGTCTATAAAGTGCAAATCTACCCTGCCTTCTGCCTGACTTCAGACTAACACAGCTAACTACCTCTATTCTATTTGTCATTAAAAGCATAAATGCTGCTAGCGTTGGAGACAACATCGATCCCACGAGAACTAAACATCAAAAGGTTAAAACGTGGTTCACATTTGAGGAGAATAGAGCTTTTCTACTATATGGGTAAAGTTTAGTTCAAGCACATTACAGCTGTCTTACTGGAAATCCCAGACTGCAACAAACACCCGGAAGACCTAAGAACCACCACAAACCACAGCAAGACCCACTCCAAGTTTCAAGAGGGTTTATATGACATTGCCTTCAGTAATATAAACACATAATAGCGTGCATATATTTATTAAATAAATTAAAGCCTACCAAAACATTATACCGCATGCACAATTTCTCCCTTGAGAAGAGAAGGAGAGGAAATTAATCATACATGACAGATGTTTGTCAAGTCACTTAATGCACTGTGGGAAAGTACTCAGATATCCTTAGTGATGATGAGGGGAGCATAAGAATCTATACAGAAAAGAAATAAAACAATTTGTGCTGGAACTGGGTTAGTTTGTTAAAAATACAGGACTTCAGGAAGTGTAGGGGCACTGGTGGACTTTGGGGGGATGGGGAATGAAGGGTGATATACCCTAAATTCTATGCTGTAGTGCTGTAGGGACTGTAGAGACTAAGAGACAAAATGTCAGCTGCTCAACTATTCTGTTTAGCTAAGAAAGAGTGCGCTATTTTGCTATCTCAGCAGTTTTCAACTGTTTTTCATTTGTGGACTTCTTTGAAAATTTCAAATGGAGGTGCAGACCCCTTTAAATTGTAAGTGTGGGTATTCACATTCTTTTGATCATTTTTTGCAGACCCCTTAGACATCATCTGCAGACCCAGGGGTCCGTGGGCCACAGGTTGAAAACCACCTGTGGCCTCACTCTGGTGGCCAGAGTTGTATACTGTTTGCTTTAAATAGATAGGTTGGATGATTTCTAACTTCTTAAAGACTGGACTTACAGTAGCTTTGTGTATAAATTACCTTGCTCCATTTGCCATTACAAGATGAGTAAACTACAAAATGGAGTGAAGTGATATGGTTCACATGGAAGTTAAATGCAAAGGAGAAGCAAAGCAGAGAGTCAATGGAGAAATTATAGAAGGAGCTTTAGTGCTACAGAAAAAGGCCCCATCCCTAATTAAAATATAAATATTGAGATATCTGCTGATGAATTATCCTCAGTGGGGTGATACTATGCACTTGTGGGATAGTTTTAG